GAGTGGTGTCTGAAGTGTAGTGTCTCGACTCGGTCAGGTCTGGATGGTAGCGACCACGAGCAAGTATCTGCTCGGCGAATGTGCAACCCATACGGACTAAATAACCGAACATGACCCTAGTAATCATTGACCTTTTCTTCCCCTCGCGGCACCACTGTTAAGTATTACTTCGCGAGGGAGGTCTCAGCTGTTTGCTCTTCCTCATTTCAACCTTATGTACGTCCTCCTAGTCTATGAAGATGTTGTGTGTAGGTAGGAGGTTCCAATAGGTTTTCCGTCTCTGTTGCAGCCTTGCGCTCGTGTTCCTCTTTCCTGAGCTCTTGCATGACTTCAGCCGCAAAGTGACTCGTTTCGTCCCAAGCTGCCTGCGATGATAGTAGGACCTCCATTAGGTNGAGGGAGGTCTCAGCTGTTTGCTCTTCCTCATTTCAACCTTATGTACGTCCTCCTAGTCTACGAAGATGTTGTGTGTAGGTAGGAGGTTCCAATAGGTTTTCCGTCTGTGTTGCAGCCTTGCGCTCGCGTTCCTCTTTCCTGAGCTCTTGCATGACTTCAGCCGCAAAGTGACTCGTTTCGTCCCAAGCTGCCTGCGATGATAGTAGGACCTCCATTAGGTTTTCAGGCAGTACTTCCATTTTCAGTGTAGACATCCAGATATGTCTGGTTTCGCTGAAATGCGGGCATGCGAAGAACACATGCTCTGCATCTTCATCCACTTCTGGGCAGGTTGGACATTTCGAGGAATCTTCATGCTTGAACCTATGAAGATACGCTCTAAAGCATCCGTGCCCAGATAGCATCTGCGTCAGGTAGTAGTTTACCTCTCCGTGGCCGCGATTCAGCCAGGCATCCACCTTAGGGATCAGGCGGTAAGTCCATCTCCCCTTGGCGGAGTTGTCCCACTTCAGCTGCCATCGACGCAAGCTCTTTCGCCTTTCTTCAGACGTCAACTCCTCGGGACTCAACACTTGGGATCTCCTACGCTCATACAGAGCTTTCCGCTCCTCAGCCAGTATCTCTATCGGCTTGAAGTTGAGCCGTTGATCTATCATCACCCCCAGGTATCGAATGAAGGGCTGAGAGGTAATTTCGCAAGACCCGACCCGCAGCGTGATTGTCTCGACTTTTTTTCTGCTAGTTATCAATACGGCTTCTGTCTTATGCTCAGCAAGGTTTAGGCCTACTGAGTCCATCTAGTTGCGGATCGTCTCAAACGTTGTGCTGAAAACACGCTTCATGTCCTCCAGGTGTTTCCTAACGATCACCACGGCCACGTCGTCTGCAAATGCCACGAGCTTGGTCCGCCAGGGCAGTTTCAGCTTCAGCAGCCCATCGTACATGATGTTCCACGAGAGAGAACCCAGTACTCAGCCTTGGGGCACTCCTCCTGTCACCTTGTACTCCCTAG